TACATATTTTAGTGTATTTATGTTTATACTTGTCACCAATAATAATCGGCACGTGAACAAATCTCGTTCTACTGTGTACATGCATGCATAAGTATTTTTTATGCAATTGTGTCGTAACCTTTATTCATATTTGTCAACAATACTTCTCGGCAACGTTAACAAATATTTTTTCTTCTTTGTTGAAGTACATTTTTTTCTTACTTGTATAAGTATTTCTTATGCAAACTCTGTTACATATATCATAACATTTGTTCATACTGGTTAACAATACTTCTCGGCTAATTGTAACTTGTAACACTTTACACTATACAGAATATGATTTGACTATAAATTTTATGTTTACAATTATATGTTAAATAAAATTTATGTTATGTTATGTTATGTTTAACGCAAAAAAAATAATTGAGATTTTTTTTTTTTTTTTTTTTTTTTTTTTTTGAGTGTAGTAACCAGTCAACTGTAATACAATGCAATCATCTTTCATTTAAAAAAACAACAGTCTTTGGTTGCCTTTCACATCTTCACACCTCTGTTCAATTATTATAACAAAGTAAATAACAACTTTTTATGGTGCTAACAAGAATACTTGAAATAGGATTATTTAGAATAGCAGCAATTAATAAGTGTTTATATTTTTGCTCTTTTGTACTAGTAAATACAAAGTAATAAAAAATTGTAATAAGGATATTTTGAGGTAAATAGTTATTGAGACGGTTTATCTCAATTTAATGTTTACTTCAAGTATTTTGTGCTTCTTAAGATGAATATTATTATGTTAACATTTGAAGGAACATTACAGAAAATTTATTATCATTTGGCCTCAAGATATTATATTGTGCCTACAACTTATTATCTTGTGACCAAAACTTATCATCTTGTTGCCACAACTACTATCTTGTGGCCTCAAGATATTATACTGTGGCCACAAGTTATGATTTTGTGTCCAAAACTGATCATCTTGTTGTCACAACTAATTATCATGTGGCCATAACTTATTATTTTGAGGTAAGACTTATATTAGCCAAAGGGAATGGTCGTTTGTTTTCAATGAATTTTAATATCACACAGACCACACAGAAGCGGTGGGTCACATGCTGTGGTGGTGAAGCATTCGTCAAAGAGTCAGTGTTCCAGTAAAACACACAGGGACATGTTTATATTATTGTACTTTTTTGTACGATCGGGCGTTTCTTTCATTATTCATGAAAGTATTAAATTAAATGCACATTGTGCCTCACATAAGTTTTCCTTCTTTTTTCCTTCTTTAAAGGTGCAAATATTATTTTTATTATGTCAACATAATGGATAAAAGCATGTTTGAATATGAATGTGAAATCATTTGTCATACTCGTAAACGTAGCAAAATGAAAAGTAGTATTTTTACTTACTGTCCCTGTGATAATTGCCAAAAAAGTGAAACAGAAACAATAGATGGTAAGGTAACCGGCAAATTAGTATTTTAAAACTATTCCAAGACACTAAGATGTAAAGTTTTTGAGAAATATATATTAGAGCATGTTTGGAACATTATGGGCTTTCAAGAAATAAAAGCTATAAATTTATACCTTTAAGGTCGCTGAATCAATTCACTTGCCCCCTACCAAACCCCTTATCCCGTTTTTGAATTCGAATCCCTTTAGTGACTTGTTTTCAGACAATTATTATTAATGATATATAACGATGTTACACTGAAAGATACCAGTTTCAAGGACATATGTCAATTCTTTTATGAATTTCCTTCTTTATTCCTGTTTGTTTATAAATCAAATATACGGCTGTGTTATGTTGTCGTTGTTCTTGTTGTTGTTGTGTCTGTGTGCGTGCGCATGTACGTGAGCGTGTGTGTGTGCGTGTGTGTGTGTTGGTGTGTGTGCGTTCTTAAATGTTTTAAGTTAAATGGTAATGACGAATACATTACTTAAGTCAAAGGACCGCCAATATGTAAACCACATTCACCATGCTGCGCTGAATATACCATATTACATTTAATCATAACTTTTGTACGTCGTCATTGAACATATGCAATAACTTTTTCATCATTTTGTGTTCTTTAAGAGAAATCAAAATATATTTCTCTTAATAAAGTCTAAGACAAATCTACCATACATACAAATGTAACTTAATGTATTTGCCACGTTTATTATATGACTATTGTAATTTATTTTGATGATAATTCGGTATAAAGAAAAAATAACATATTTATATTTAACTTTGTTAGCGGTGATGCTGTCGGACCGTACATGTCACGGAACGTATATGTCACACGTGTGGGACATATTCGGCCGAATTAATTACAGCTGTGTTTATATGCCATATACGTTTCTGCAATTTGGTAGTAAATGCCTGACCGTATATGTAAAACGTACACAGTAATCTAACATAATCGTCGACGTTTTAACCTACCTTCATCAACTTTAATAATATACCATCATCATCATCATTATCATCATCATCATTATCATCATCATCATCATCATCCACAACAACAACAAAACATCATTATCATAAATGATGAATCATCATCGTTATCGTTAATTTGTAATAGATATATATTTGTTTTAGTCCACATCGCCTTGCTTATCATGCCCCCTACTCTAAAGGGGGAGGGGAGATTTAAACGTTTACTTGTTCGTGCGCCTGAGCCCGAGTACGTGCAGCTGTCTGTCCCGGAATCTTTAGTGTTGCTCCATAAATACTTTAATTAGGGGTCATGAAATTTTACATGAACGTTGGCCAGCATTATGTTATTGTACATCGGATTGTGTTTGTCGATTCGGACAGTCATGCCAGAGTGACTGCCCTTTTCTTAGACAAATCGGAAATCGTCAGCTTGTGTCCCGTGTAACATAAACAGTATTTGATCTAGGGGCATGGTTATGAAACTTGTAAGTTGATCTTACGCGTTAAAAGCGTGATTTTGACATGCACTTTACAAATGACGTTATACCACGAAAAAAAAATAATTTACGCCGTGACTTTTTAAGCAAAATCAAAACTTTATTAATCACGAAAAAGAAAAACATATTCTCCAAACTGCAAACCATGTATAATTTTACAGTGGTGCGCACAAGAGGGGATAATATGAATGGCGTTCTGTTCATATGACATTTATAACTAAATTGCTCCTATGCCTTAAACCGTCATGACCATTTTCGAAATGGCGATTTCAAGAACGCGTTAAAGTTGTTTCAAACAAACTGTTTGACAGAGTTAAACATGCATTCGACGTTTGCTTTGTTGCAGCATATATGTCATTTAAGCTCTAGCAAGATGTGATTGCTTTCCTGATGAATCACAAAGTATGGATGATACAATGATAAGGGGTAGTGGTGATCTAATGACCAAGATGTTTGCCTCTCAATCCCAAGATTGTGAGTGCGAGCCCAACTCGGGTCACGACTATGTTTCTTCATTTGATACCAGTATTGGTTAGTTCCAGGAAGTGGACTTTAAAGTGATGTATATAAGTTGAAAGAACTTGCTTCGCAATTGAGCATAAATAAATACATTTAAACTAATAGCTTGTAGATTAATCAAGGACTCTTGAATCATTTATTTGTTTGTTCAAGCAGCTAGAAATATACAAAAATAAAAACATATTTTAGTACAAGACGAATGTATGTTTTTGTTTACAGGGATATTGCAGTACGATACTCACCAAATATGTTTGGTGAATTTTTTTGTTTATTATATACTTTTAAAAAAATCGATGAAAAATTTGTTTATCATACACTTTTAACAAATTTTATGAAATATATGTTCATTATACACTTTAAAAAAAATTCGGTGAAATATTTGTTTATTATACACTTTTAAAAAAATTCGGTGAAATATTTGTTTATTATACACTTGTGATGATGATTATAATTCTGCTGCTGATGATGACGTTGATGAAGATGGCGGTTGTGGTATTTGCGATTCTGTCATTAGTTTTTGTTTTTTAATAAACATTATTGTGCAAAACGGACTTATTTATAAACAAAAATCTAAAAGTGACGTACACGTTTGTATTTTTATTTTATGCGCATTTTTGGTAAGTGACAAATACGTTTAAGTGATCATAAAAAAATCTCAACCCAACCGAATATGGCACATTTTATGTTTTATTTTCGGCTGAGGAGTATGCAATATTTAACCGAATATGCCACACGTCCGACAAATTCGACCCGAATAAGTCACACGTGTGCCATATTCGGTCCGTGACATATAAGGTCAAACAGATGGGTCCGCTGAAAATGAAACGAAAATTGTATTGCTTCAAATAAGTCGTGGGCTGAAGATAATAATTCGTGGCCACAAGATACTGAAACGTCGCTTCTAGATCATAAGTTGTGAGCACAAGATAATAAGTCGAAAAAAAGATAATAAATCGTGGCCGCAATATAATGTTTTGATGCTTCAAGGTAATTAGTTGTGGCCTATGGATAATGTCTTGAGGCCACAAGGTATGTCTTGCGGCATCAAATTAGTAATAAGAGGAGGCCACAAGATAAAAGTTTTTTTCACACGATTATATCTTAAGGCTTTAAGACAATAAGTAGCCATAATATTATATCTAAAAGCTCAAGATAATACGTTTTGACCTCAAGAAAATAGATACTGCAAATATCACCTCTGCCATCTTACATTACAAAACTTTATATCAAAACAAAAAAGCATGTTATTTTCTTATTTGAGAATAGAGAAATAATCTAAATTTAATTTTAATTTAATTTATTGTGGTCTATTGCTTAACATTTTGTTATTATTGTTTGTATTAGTTGACAATAAATAAACATATCATGTATTTCGTCTCATGATGGTAATATAAATAATGTTTTGTTATTAGTGTATTTGCTGGTGGCTTTATTGTACAATGGTTTCAATAAATTAAATGTGAATGAAACTGTTTCATTTTGGTAAAACATTTTGAACAATGATATATATTCAGCGCTCATTTTCAGCTCCAAAAAAAATACAACTTTACAAAGAAATAAAAGGAAACATAAATAATTTAATACCTGCATACACCGCCCAGTGTGAGTATAAAACACTCCTTTTGACCTCCACTAAATCTCCTTTTTTGAGGCTCTTCAAAACATTGGTGTTGTGTTCCTTAATTGAGTTTGCTCCCATTGCCAAACAGACGTTTTACCCTGATAAAACCTGGAATGAAAACACCTTATAATAAGATATGTTACATGGTATATATTTCTTTCTAATTGAACTTCTATAATAGAGACTGAACAGAGTACTATATTACCGAATCAAAAGAAAATATGAGTAACTGAATTTCATTCCTTTTTAGTAGATAATAAAAACAAGTTCTACAGAACTGTCAAACTAATATTATCAAAACTATATTTTGAATGCAGATAAAAGAATATATTCTATATAAATGGAAATAAGAATATTTTATTTTGTTTTGTTTTTTCTTGTTATTTCTGCGAATATTGTGGTAACATATCCTAGCAGTTGATCAACCTAGAGTACTTAACAGTAACTAACGATTTCTATTCAAGTTGCCTCTTAGACAGTCTTCTCATGATATACATGTATCTGTATATACAACTATTTGAAGTAAAATGTACAGTTACCGAAAGCATACTTATTTGCACACATATGTACGGTGTTCCGTTTGGACATTCGTGATTTATTATTTAGTCTGTACCCTCGATGCACGATGGCACGATGGTGAAAACGCGATGGCACAATGATACGATGGTGAAAACGCGATGTTATGATGATGAAAACACAATAGTGCGATGGTGAAATCGCGATGGCACGAAAACACGATAATGAAAAAGCAATGGTACGATGGTGAATGCACGATGGTAAGATGGTGAAAACACGATGGCACGACGGTGAAAGCGCGATGACACGATGGTGAAAACGCCATGTCACGATGGTAAAAACGCAGATGGTACGATGATGAAAACACGATGGTGCGATGGTACGATGGTGAAAAAGCAAGAGTACGATGGTGAAATCGCGATGGTATGATGGTGAAAACGGGATGGCACGATCGTGAAAACGTGATGGTACGATGGTGAAAGCGCGATGGTGCGATGGCGAAGACGCGATTGTACAATGGTGAAAGCGCGATGGTACTATGGTGAATGCAAAATGGTACGATGGTGAAAACACGATGGCACGACGGTGAAAGCGCGATGGTACAATGGTGAAAACGCGATGGCACGATGGTGAAAACACGATGGCGCGAATATACTATGGCGAAAACGCGATGGTACGATGGCGTAAACGCAATATAAAATCGCGTTTTCACCATCGTACCATTGCGACATTGCGATCGTACCATCGTGTTTTCACCATCGTACCATCGTGTTTTCGTCATCGTGCCATCGCGTTTTCACCATCGTACCATCGTGCATCGCGGATAATGAAAAAATAAAAAATCACGATTGTCCAAACTATGTAACAAAATTAGATAAATAGAATAATATTTTTTAATATGAACATTGCTGAAAGTAATCTAATCATCTTGCTTTGACTAAAAATCTGGAAACAAAGTCGCATTAATTTTTTTTAGGGCGTGGACGGTTACTTGTACTTTCTATTAACGTCAACGCACAGATTCAATCAAACCGTGCCTGCAACATTTTCAATTGTGTCGTTTTCTGCGTTCTTTAGGGACTGTGTATATCTCTCCATTTTAAAATTTAAATCTTGAATAGTGTTCTGTGAGAGTAGGAATTTATTGTTTGTTTTTGATATCTTTTATACTCTTTGGACCTTTAACAACTCGGTACGTTGGTTTGAATATTCGTTCGGATGTAGCATTTTCATGCGCATGCGCAATCTGCGTAGGACAAAAGATCATCGCACTACATAGAAATGCAGTAGAAGTTAATAGAAAACTCTAGGCTTGTTGACGGTAAAGAAGTTAAAGAACAACATTAAATAGCTTTGAACAAAAAAAACAAAACAAAAAAACATGCCTCTATAGCTTTGTGGCCAAGATGAACAAGAAGAACCCCTTAGCGACTACGTCTGACGTAAAAACCTTTTCATAATTGTTGCAAAAAGGTGGATTTATAATTACTACATAAAAAAAATCTACTTTATTTTTCTTTAAATGATTCTTATAAAAGAAACTTAAGAGATTTCTATATCAAATTCAAATATCTTTATTCACTCAGGTTTCAATAAAATACATAAGGTTTCAACAAAATAATAGTTGACAATATAAATGTTCCGGTTGTAAAGTCCTGAAAAGAAAATGCACTATAGACATTTAGTTATCATTAGACAGAGATAAAATAACAATAGACATTTTAAATGTTTTAAAGAAAGAAATGGGGGTTCAGTTGAGGATATATGAGCATCTTATATAATTGAAAAAATCAACATAACTTATCGTTCAACACTACTTGAACGTACACAACACCTAATTGCACGCTCTAAACGGAAGCCCATTGAGGCCGTTTTGAGTTAAAAGATAACAATTTAAACTTAGATGTTAGATCTTAAGTCTTATATCTAAGAACTTAGGTCTTAGTTCTTATAACTAGAGGTTCCGTAAAACTACCATTGTCGTTATTTTAACCAAACCTTCCAACCTGTCTTTGTGTAATTCACAAATTGTCAAATTGGGAACAGTATTCAAAATTGTGTAACTACGGAAGCCCATTGAGGCCGTTTTGAGTTAGAAGTTAGAACTTAAATGTTAGATCTTAGAACTTAGATCTTAGAACTTAGGTCTTAGTTCTTAGAACAAGAGGTTCCGTGTAGGCGGGAAAACGCCATATTGAATGCAAGATAGACATGAAGATGTATGGTAGGTAAATTTTTAATTATATTTCTTTAATTTATATTTTATCTTTAAGAATTGCAGAGATATAGCTATTATGTTATAAGATTAGGTGATCTTATCTGTATAACTTAAAAAGCGTGGTGAAACGCAACGAATTTCAATAGGAAGCAAAGGAGGCTTTTTAGCCCATTGTAGCTATTTTAGCCAAACCTTGCAACAAAAAAGACCTACGATAAGGGACACAAGCATCAAAACTGATATATGTTGCCTGTCTTAGTGCGTTATTCCCCAACTTTGGAACAGTATTTAAATTGTGTAATAGTCAGTTTGGTTGGTTTCGTAATGTGAACAAAAATTTGATAATTTTTCCAATTGCAGAATCTTCTTTATTCCTTTAAGGACGACGAAAATGGTGTGTACATGGGCATGGATGTTTTGAATTGGCTGTTATAACACCAGTATCTACCAGTATCTAGTGTTGTGATCATGGATTTAGCTGTCATTCTCAGAGGGGCACATTTAACAAGATTAGAACTGATTACAAATTACTTATTCATAGTTTATTTTACAAGGCTAACAATCATGTCCGACGCAAAACACGTTCACCTATTAGGACGAAGTAAGGGACCCAATTATTGTAGTAATCCTGAGGAGTGTCAAGTGTTTTGGTTTCGATCGATGTTGCACAAATTAGAGACTGACTACCGGTTGCAATGTTTACGGATTCTGTAATGAGGCTAATGCCACAAATCGATCCCGAAAGAACTAATGAACGCAAAACCACTGACCATCTCAGCGAAGATATGTCTCAAAAGGTCCTAACATTGTGTGGCATGTAAATCGTTACGAAATGTTAAAGCCATATGGATTCTGCATCCAAGTAGCGATAGACGGGTACAGTTCTTTATGCCTCGAAGTATCAAACAGCAAAAATTGCCCGCAACGATAGCGTCATTTTCATTGACACATTAAACGAATTAGACATTTTACAGAAATGTTTATCAAAGTTCTTAGTTCATCGTTCTGGTTTAAGTTCAAATGTATGTTTTGAATATATGAAGTATTAAGAAACGCTATATTTTCTAAATCTTTTAACAAAACGTTTAAAAATACGTATTTTGTTAACTCTTTATTTTCTATGTTTTATTTCATCTGAACCATGCTTAGGAACATCCATCGTACACTTTACAGCCTTGGTTTGGAGTTTTTTCAATATAAGGGAAATTTGTTGGAACTAGATTTTATTGGATTTTACCATAACATTAGAATTTCTTGACTTTTTTGTCTCATGGTATCCCTGAGATCAAAGGAACTTCTTTTTTTCTATAAATAGTCGATGTAGACCTACATATATCATTGATCTTTACCATAAATATTTTTGTAACAGACCTGTAAGTATTAATTATTAATTGAGTGTGCAGCACGGGGGTATGCCATTGACAAGTTCTTGTCGAGATTATGTTATTCTTTTTTGAGATAAATGAGATAAGTGTCTTGTATCATGTTTTGCAGTTTACTGTAACTTGAAAAAAGTTTTATGTTTGAGAACGGAGTTATATGTCCTTCTTTTAGCTCTTTCAAAACCGATTTTCTAAGTTGTAATAACTAAGTTCTAATGATTTAGTTCTAATAACTAAGTTCTAATCACTAAGTTATAATGTCTAAGTTCTAATGTCTAAGTTCTAATGTCTATGTTCTAAGAACTAAGTTCTAATGTCTAAGTTCTAATATCTAAGTTCTAAGATAGAATTATGCCCCTTTGTCACCTTAGGAAATTGTAGCAAATGGCATTGTTTTCAATATTATATAAGACAAATGTTTGTCTTTTAATATTCTTATATCATGGTAGCCCCAATCAGTATCAAACCGCTGATAATTTCGTCAAATATTAATACAGAAGTGCAGTTCGATAAAATTAGGGCAATTATTATTTTTCATTTAAGTGGCCACAGTGATCTTGACCTAGTAGAAATGGAAACACGAAAGGATTGATCGCTGATGCAAAGTGCACATACATGTAATTTTAAATGTAAAATAAACACATAATTTGATCGGACCATTTATTGAAGCTTTGACTACACCAGACGTTCACCATAAACAATTATCTTGAAACAGTTCAATAGGTTTTTTAACAATATTCCTGACATCATTAAGCACAACAGATATTATTAGGACACACAGGTTGTAATATCTGAAATCACATAAATCTTATGTTAAAATTACAAATATATATTTAACAATAAAATCAATATAATAATTAATAAATATTATGACTTATAATTAATAATTGTGAATGCCAACACGAACCCCAATTGAATGTTCATTGTAAGTCATTGTTAAAATGTTCCAAGATCATCTGTAAAAATTCAAGGTTCGTTAATGGCTGTCAA